ACGCTACCCCAGCAACCTCTCAGAGCCACGCTATCCCAGCAACCTCTCAGAGCCACGCTATCCCAGCAACCTCTCAGAGCCACGCTACCCCAGCAACCTCCCAGAGCCATGTTACCCCAGCAACCTCCCAGAACCGTTACCCCAGCAACCTCCCACAGCCACGTTACCCCAGCAACCTCTCAGAGCCACGTTGCCTCAGCAACCTCCGAGAGCCACGCTACCCCACCAACCTCCCAGGACCACTCTACCCCAGCAACCTGTCAGAGCCACGCTACCCCAGCAATCTCTCATAGCCATGTTACCCCAGCAATCTCTCAGAACTACGCTATCCCAGCAACTCCTCAGAACTACGTTACTTCTGCAACCTCTCAGAGCCATGTTACCCCGGCAACTTCTCAGAACTACGTTACCCCAGCAACTTCTCAGAACTACGTTACCCCAGCAACTTCTCAGAACCACGTTACCCCAGCAACCTCTCAGAGCCATGTTACCTCAGCAACCTCCCAGGAAGGTAAAGACATTAACGCCCGTATTATTAAACAACATCTTCCCTTGAAGAGGGTCGTCGTGTTTCAACCCAAGTTTTAAACTAAATGAGTCCTGAGGGACACCGCAGTACAGTACTTAACGGGGCGGTGTTGCGGTAAAATGAACTAATTCCAATAAAATTAATTTATAATATTGGAATTAGTTCATTTTACCGCCACATCACCCCGTTAAGTACTGTACTGCGGTGTCCCTCAGGACTCATTTAGTTTAAAACTTGGGTTGAAACACGACGACCCTCTTCAAGGGAAGATGTTGTTTAATAATATGGGCGTAAGACGATGGCTTAAATGGCGGTAAAAAATCATTGATAAGATAATACTAATGATATACTACTACTACTACTACTGCTACTACTACTACTACTACTACTGCTACTACTACTTATAATAATTATAATAATAATAATAACCTTCTAAAACGGTCGTACTTCGCTGATATATGAACTGAAACAAGAACATTTTATAATATTTTTGTGAAGAAAATTTGGTGAAATCCGATAAAATTTTCAGAAGTTCTTGCATAGACAAAAGTAATTCGTACGGACACACGGACGGAGCTAGGGAGGGGTTGTGTTGGGGGATAAGGACAGTGAGTGAGGGGGGAGGAAGGAAGGGAGGGTCACCTAGCTGCAGTATTCATGACTCACAATTGCACTACAGTACTATGTCACGCGCTCACTCACATACACTGACCAAAACTCCTCTACTGTGAAGGCGAGAAAGAAAGAACTGTATCTCTCTGTACCAGTATTATTACGCGGAAGTGGAGACAGAGACCGTAATCTGATATGGAGAGAGAGAGAGAGAGAGAGAGAGAGAGAGAGTAGGTTCTGTGGTCATCAGCTTTGCCGTAAAAAAAGTATCTGCACCCTGTTAATTATAGACAGACTCAAACGGCACCCTAATCACTCTACTCATATGATCTCGTTGACATGAGTGCGTTAACAAATAACAGTAAGTGTAAAATAAATACTCGAGCTTGTAGTAGAGAAAAATACACCTGTTGAGCAGTGTAATTATCAATAAGCTAACATCGACTGCTGCTTACACGTGAATAAGGTTGTGAGGTTCCCCGTCTCGCCACAATATGTTCAACACACCATAACTCTTAAAAACTAAATGGTGATTATCGACAATGTCTGAGAAGTTATGATAATGTAACAATGTGCAGTACAAAGTTTAGTTATAATCCACTGTCGTGTCTTTAAGTCATTGGATGGACACAAGTTTATGTGCCTTCTCAGACTATTCATATTATTTTCTTCGACAGTCTAGGAGACGAAGGGAGCGTAAGGTGGTGATGGTTAACACTAATACCCGTATATATAATTTGAACATGACTAATCAAAATTACTTTTGACAGTTCTTAAATGATGAAACCGATTTGTTTACCATTAACAAGATATAATTGATAAATATGCCCAGAAAATTGTGAAATTGTGACTAACAAACATAACGTGATCATTAGAGCAAGAATATATATATATATATATATATATATATATATATATATATATATATATATATATATATATATATATATATATATATATATATATATATATATATATATATATATATACAGTATTAAATTCCACTGAAATCTATCAGGTCTATCTATAGTTACTGTATGGAAACCTTGGGCATGAATTCACAAACGCACGCAGAACCTGCAGGTAAGACTTGCCTGTGTGGGGATAATAATCAATATAAGTGAGTGTTAACACCTGCCTGGGATGCTATGTTCAAAAATCAATATTGGTAATAACACGTGTACCCGTAGTCTCACCTGCGCTCTCTCTCTCTCTCTCTCTCTCTCTCTCTCTCTCTCTCTCTCTCTCTCTCTCTCATATTCTCCGGTAAAACCCTAAATCAACTCCCATTTCTTCCCACCCACCCCATTACCTCCCATCCACACCCATTACCGCCCATCCACACCCATTACTTCCTAT